ACTGAGCAAACATGGATAAACAAATGATGAAAGAAGTAGATTGTTCCTGGAGAACTTCTTGAAACCTTAAAACACTTGGTGCTTAGTGAGAGAACATCCTTTATTCAGTAGATGTTAACCGTACAATGTATAATAAGTCCTGAAACCTTCTAACATTTTTGGCAGTTGATTCCAGTAGTGCTCCTTGATTCAAGGACGGAATGAGCGTTTCTAGTTCTTGCCTGCTCTAGTCACGAAGGATTGTTTGAAGTCTCCTTAAATATTTTAAAAAATGATTCCTATAGTTGTGTGTCTTGTTACTTCAGAAATAAAGGCTTCATATTGAAAAACTGAAGGACACTTTTCTCTCTGCATTTAGTTGGAAGGTAGAAAGAAGAAACAAAATATAAGAAAAGCTTGAAGATGAGAGATAAAATACAGAGCAGCTACTGTAAGAACAGCATGCACTAGATATTTCCATAGGAATGAAAGTGACAGTAAGAAATAATTTTTCTTTGGCTCTTCCTAGAAAAGTCATTTAGTTTATTCTCAATTATCAACAACATTGTGGGGAAGTTGTATTCCTACCACAAAAAAAGACTCCAAACTAAAAATTCCTAAGACATTATTTACTCATAAAAATCAAATTTATATTGAGGAAAAAATGGTTTTTTAAAGGTTTGTTTCCTACATTGATAGGCAAAAACTTATGGCAATTAACTAATCTTATTTTACTAGTAAGGAGGGCTGAAAGTCACAGATTAAGCAATATTTAGATCTGTTAATGCAATGTGCACTTGCTCTTAACACAGTTTGTATAAATGAGAACTAATCTCATTTACATTTTAAGCAAGAAACTCACCACCTGGCCCACATGTCATGTAGTGGGTAATAGAATTAGAAGCTTTGTTGCTCCCTAGATCTGCTTTTTTTTTTTTTTTTGAGAGTGCGTCTCTCATATTTATTGATCAAATGGTTGTTAACAACAATAAAATTCTGTATAGGGGACTCAATGCACAATCTTTTTGAATTTCTGCTTTCTTATACTTTGCCCACATCTGCAGGAGAAAAGCATTGCATGTCATTTAATCAAAGGTTACACAGAATATAATTTATGAAGATAAGAACTAAAGAGCTCTCACTGATTAGGGCAAGGAGAAAGGTATCTAACTTTGGGAAGTTTGTTAATCCACAAGACATCTCATTACCTAAAGACTGATTTTTATATATTAAAAGCTAAGATAACATACCCTTTTAGAGTCAGATAAGTTCACTTATACTATGTTTATTTACTAAATGGTCTCATATGGTTTTAAAGTAAAAAATAATCCATGCAGTAACAGAAACATCCACAGTGAAATATTTGTATTATCTACTAAAAAAACAGGGCTTAAAAGCATATTTTATAGGCCAATAATATGCCCACTTAAATGGGTATAGCTGAAATTGCTTTGGTCCAAAGGGACCCAATGCCTAATATAAGTTTACAATGTCACACAAATAATAAGGGTACAATTTCTAGAAACGTAGGCCAAGTATATGAAGCTAATCAGTTTAATATACAAATTAGGGGACTAAATCTCCAAATAGTTCTTCAAATAATACCTTGTAAAGCTGTAGGGTATTTATGGAGATGTTTTAGAGGAAAAAAGTGCAGCTGCTCAGTTGAGTTAGAATTGCTACACTTTTATCATTTAAGAAGAAAAAACTGCATTTCTGTAAGATCTCATTTATAGAGAGTATTATGTTGATTTTTTTAAAGTTTAGGAAACATTGGCTTTAAGTTATTTCTAAGGTTTTTACCGTTGTTAAAAATTTTATTTGAAGTGTTATGAAGAAACATAGGTAAGAACCTAGTGTTTTGGAGGAATTTTATGACTCCACAGATGGTGGTAGTTTCCGGAGGAAGTCAAGCCTGTTTTCTCAGACAATCCTCAGGACACATGGACATGGTATATACTTGTCTTACATGCAATGTAAGACATTTTTGAAAGCATGCTGTATATATAACTATAGCCATTTGGATTGGAAATAACTCCTTTCCTATAAGTCTCTTATAATAATCACATAGTTTTTAATATAATGGCACATGATCTCTCAATGTGTTTTGCATAAATAAGTTTAATATTTTAAGTTTAATGTATGGCTACATTTATAGTGTCAAAAAAGCTGAAATGGTTGTGAAATAATCTATGTGGAAAAGAAATAACGCTAATTATTACATTTTTATCCTTATGGTCCTCATCTAATCTCACCTACATTTACCATTTACCTTTATTATTAGGTTGTAAGAAAAGAAAAGGAATACCAAAAACATTTGAAAGATTAAGATTGGCTGTGAAACAACTGACAATAAAACAGACAGAACACTCAAGTAGAAAATAGGTGGTGCTAGAAAACAGAAACATGAAAATTTTCTAATTTTATTTGATCACCTGCACTACCATTTTTAGTAAGAGCTGGTTATGGGAAAAGGAGTGTAGTCAAAGATACAAACGGAAGGGGCCTAGCCCCTGAATTAATCTACTGTAAGTATAAGAGGATGGCTTAATTTGCAAAGGATACAAATTTCATTAAGCAAAGATTTATTAGATTCTGTTTGCTTTGGCTCAATAACAGTAATAATTTAACATGTATAAAATAATAATTTGCTTCCCATTTAGAAAGTTATATATTCCTTTCAGATGCCAGCCTGAGTTATTACCAGTAATATTTAGGCTGAATCAAAATGGCAAAAACATTCTAAGACAAACTCCTCCAGAAGTAAGTGAATCAGGTTATAGGGTTTTGGAGGTGTTTTGTTTTACTCTGGGAGTTAGACATTCAAGTTTAGCTGATTTTGCTTTAAACATGCTATGACCACAGCAAGATAATCTAAAGCTTATGACAATGGAGTCAGAGTTAGTAAATATTTTTTCTATCTTACATGGGGTTTTTTTTGTTTGTTTGTTTAACTAAAAGTTTGTATTTATTCTCAGTTCCAAAATTTGTTCTACCAAAAACATACTTCATTTAAATGGTTAAAAATTCTAATCTTACATTTTATTTTAGCACAATGTACTCATTTTAGAAAATTCTGTTTTAAGGACATGTGTAATTTAATTATAAATTAATTATAGAATTACAGAAGTTACAATCTTCATCACTTTTTAACTTGCTACTCTTTTTGAAGAGAAGTGAAAATGCAAATTTCCAACACATTCAGTATGATTTGGTTTATTTCTTTGACTCTACATAAAAAAGTAATGGAAAAACTATTGTGTTAACTGATTCCAAATAAAAAAGTTGTCTAGAAGGTAAGATAGTATTTGAGCTCTTATATTACCAGATGGAGAAAAGTGCAGAGAAGAAATAAAACTAATACAAATGCTCCTAGTCATTGTATAGGTCACATTTGAATTTGATGGTTTTTTAAAGAATTATACTGAATTTATGAGTATTAACAATGTTTTAAATCTCAACAATTTTATAAATATGGGCAGTAAATATTTGCTACACAAAGTGTTAACTGAGTTATTAACTATTTCTTTGAAAATAAAACAGCAGGGTAGAAGGCACAGTTAAATGGCAAAAGAAAATGTCACCTTTTTCCTATTTTTCCCCTTACTAATACCATCCATGTACAATATGAAGTGCACATTCTGGAAAAAAAGGAATGAGCGGAAGAGAAGGTGGGAGAGGGAGAAAGAAAGCTAAAGAAGGGGAGGGGGAAAAAAGGAGCATTTTTTTTGAAGTAACAAAGTAAATGTGACTTGGAAATGCCTTCTTGGTAATTACAGCATGCAGGTATTTAAACATGCTTCTAGGTATCAAAGTACTCTCTTATCAGGTGACAAAAAATGTGAAAGAGGAGCATATATTGTTAAGGTTTTTAAGGTCATGCAGACAGTGTGCACAATGCAATTAATTATTCATGCAGGCTTTGGTGGGGTTACACATTCATATTTGTATACATGCCATCATGTACAACTGAGCACTATGCCACAATTTAAAACTGAAAATATAAACCTAGCCAAATGATAGTTTTATACAGCAGCTCTTCAAATCAGATTAGAGAAGTACAGTATATATCAAATGACATCAGTTTTATATTGTGTGGTTTTGATCATACACAACCATATTCATACCAGACAGTGTGATTATCCTCAGAAACCAACAATGTAGCTTCCATGTCACTAGGATAGAGGCATGCAGGATTGATAAGATTACTTCTGTCTACAGAAGACTGTTGGTTACTGTTACTAGGGTTCTGATTATCAGACAACTGTTCATTACCTTTTTCTGCAGCTTTATCCAAGGAGGCAGAAGCCTGATCAGTTACTCTGGGGACTGGCCTAGGAGGTGATCACTTATGTTGCTAACTAATTCTGTATTCAGGGATATAAATGGCTGAGATGGATGAGCCACAGTAAATGACTCTGTGCTATCTTTAGCTGATACTCCAAATGCATAATTAGTCATATTAATAGTGGCAAAAGTTTGGTTTAAAAAATGTGACCTTTCTGTTCTTGAGTTTCCAGCCTGGGCATATAGACACTAGCTTATGTGTAGCTAAAAATTTTGTGCACAAGAACCCACAGCATATGTTGGACTGTGAAGTGCACTAGAGGACCCCTGATGTAAACGGTACTCACTGGATGCTGCAGTGATGTTGCTATCAGCAGTAGCTGGTGGTGAATTAACTGACATAGGCAGTCTACTGTCTTTGGTCAGAAAATCATGGATGCTTGTCCTTCGAGTAGTCCCTTCGGCAGTAGAGATCACACTGCTTGCGCGAGGTAAGTGGCAGAAGGATTACTATCTTTTGATTGTTGTGACAGAGAAGTTTCTTTTACTAATTTTATCTTTCCTTGTGTACCTAGTGTAGGTTTGTCTGGAGAACTAATGAAATAAGTATCTTCAGTCTTTTGAGGACCAGGTCTTACAAATTGTTCAGGCTTAGTTGTCTGTCTATCACAGAAGTCTCCTGGAGATCTCCCACTTGCTGACCTGGCCAGACCACAGCTAACTGGTTTGTTTTTCCCAAAAAGTCAGAAGAGACAGACAAAGTTTTCGTTACTTCATCTAAAAGATTTTCTTGACTTGAGGACTTTATCTGTTAAAAAAAATCAAAGCAGATTAGTGAATACGGCCATGTTTTTACTTTCCTGATACATTAGATTGTATGATATAAAATCATTAATATCTCTAAACACTCCTTTAAAAAGAAAAGCTCTAAAGTTTGGTCGCAGAAATTTAACTGGAGTGTCCTTCTAAATTAAAGTAATCACAGATAAAACTAACCTGTATGGAGGTAAGCTTATTGTTTTCTTCTAAAAACTGTTGCAGAGTAACAACTTCACTTCCAGGGGAACCAGTGTTGAACTTGTGGTGTGCTCGACTCTCTAACGTTTCAGGCATTTTGTGCTGGAGCACTGGACTTGATCTGGCTTGTCTTTTCAAGTGCTGGATTGGACTGCTACCCCTGCTGGACCAAGCCTCACGGTCATGAAGCAGGCTAAATTCTCCACTGCTGTGGCTTTGTGGCCTGCTTTCAGTAGTATCTGTACTTGCTTTGGGAGAAAATGATGCATTTAGAGTTTAATAATAGAAATGAGATAAAAACTATGTAAGTAATAACATTTACTGACTAGATTTTTATGAATAGCCAAATGGACTTTCAAGCTTTGTTTAGAAATGCCATGTTAATCTTTCATTCAGTCTACCATAGCCCACTTTCTTATTTTGTCAAATTGACAAAAATTATAAGCTTAATAAGGGCAAAGATTTGCTTTCATCACCTTATCCAGAGCCTAAACATACAAAACAAGCACTTGGTATGTTTAATGAATGAATGAATGAATAAATAAACAAATAATACTTTTTTAAAAATTCAGGTTCAAATAATTATAAAACACCTCACAATTTTGAAAACATGATTATATATGAATTTTAAATTATTTCAGAAATGTTAAGATCAAAACTTTTAAATAAGAAAAATGCTAATTCTCTGCCTCACTATGAAGTCTTTATTCTTTATTTGAGGGCTTCTTTGTTTACCCTAAATGAATAACCTTAAAGAAATTTTTTAATTTAAATGGTACTTACATAAGGAAAGTCAAATGGAGAAATGATGATTCACTTAGATAATTCCAGTAAAAATACAAAACCAAATATGTAGTACTTAATTTTTACTTAATATCTCAATTATCTGATTTCTTCTGCTTTCCACGGTTGGTATGGTGGCTACATAACCTTAAAAGATCAGTTAAGGTTGCACAACTGTAGAGAATGCAAAAAGCATTCTCTTAGAGAGTAGAGAGAGACTAGAGAAACTGTAGAGAATTCTGGAAAAAGCACCTATAGTTTATGCCATTCCTTAAGAATCGTGATTCATTTTGAGCAATAGTGAACTATGTATATACAGTATTGAGATAGAAAAATCCACCTTTTCATGGTTTCCTAGTCACAGAGAGTAAAGTGGGCCATGCAAGATTTGGTGTATGTTATGTAACATTTTATAGAAATGTGACTTCCTTAAATTTTCAAATCAGAAAAATACTTCTTTATATTTTCAGACTACATTTCTGTAATGGATATAAGAACATGACTATAAAAATGAAAACATTTTCCCTCCTTGAAATCAGATTTTTCAGAGCATTACAACACAGTCATATAGCATTAATGATAAAATTACAACTGAGACAAAATCATTTTATGATACAAAAAGCAATAGAACAAATGCATTCACTATAATTTGACAATTCTGGACTACAGAGAACAACTACTTCAACCAACCTTTATAATCCATTAAACAATTCTATAATCTGAATAGGCAGTATACCTTTAAGGAAAAAGATACTAGTCAAGGCTTCCAGACATTTACATATAAACATATTATGTTGGAATGCTTGTTAAAAAATTAAGGGAAAGTATCTTGAAATAATTCTTTATATGAGCTATATGCATCCATTTAGCTCTTGTTACACATAAATGTCTTCTCAAGTTTAAAAAAATTCCCCTTATTTGTGGATAAATTAAGCTATTAAGTATCTCTAAAAGACTTGTGTAATGTGTTCAATGTTCATGCATCAGGACAACCATTTTCATGACAAAGACAAACAAGTAAAATGAGGACCTACATATATTTTTGAAGTAAAGATTATAATAAAAAAATTTTATCTGTGAAGATGAAATATGGAAACCACAATAACTGCTCCTGTTTTTACATTTGTATACATTGAAATACATTTGTATTACAATGTGATGAGTACATGATTTGGATTTCATACTTTACTCCAGAAACTTCATCAGTCTCCCACTTTTAAATCTGGCAATGGACGGAGCATATTAATAAATTCACCTACAGCGCACCTTTGACCTCATGGAGTGAAGCATTATTACTGCTATTGCTAGTGGATGTTCGGCTACTGTCAAAGCTGGCTGGTCTTGAAGCTAAATGAAAAAGTCAGGAGACAGTGTGATAAAACTTCCAGCTAATGCCACTGAACTCTACATTCTGATCACAGAATGCTGTCAGGAAGCAACCATGCATATGTTCACAGGCTGAACATGCCCACAGAAAGTTGAATCTTAGAGATTAGAGAGCACAGGCATTTCCAGATAGACACTTGAGAAGAGGATACTTCTGAAACAATTTTAAGTTAAGATTCAAAGAAAAGAAGATAAAGTACATATTTAGATTTGGAATGATTTCTAGATGACCACAAAGACTGTTTTAGTTGACCAGGATGACATGTCCCCCACAGAAAAGTGCCAGTGATTAGGTCACTTACAAGAGATCACACAAGGTACCCTGCACATGGCAGAGATGCCACGAACAGGAGGAACATGAGCACCTGCACTGTTAATGTCCTGTATTCCTATCCACACAAGGGAAACAACTGCAGTTAACATGGCTCTATCCTATTTCTAAAAGTCCTGCTTACATATGAAATTCCTTCAACATCTTATCCACTTATTGTTAATAATTTAGTTTGGCAAGATATTCTCCAAATAGAAACTTAAAAATCACAGACACTCAACATTGCAGAAAATGTGTTTCTTAAAGTTCATCCGTTATCAAAGTATTTTTTGAACCAATGGTAAAATGTATCACTCATAACTTTAATCTTATACCAAAATAGCCACAAAATTACCTTTGTGAATGATCTTGACTAAAATAGAGAATATTTAGATGAAGCAATAGCCTTAAAGGGGGCAAAACAAAGTATTAGTCTTGAAGAAATGGCAGAGGTAGCTATATGATATAAGTTAGAGAAAACATGCTTGCTGGCAGTGCCACATTCACCAGTACAATGCAAGCCTTAGCATTCCCATTCTGTACATAATAACTATTCTCTACATAAAGTTTGTATCTTACCATGAACTCTTGATCCTGTACTAGAATCATCACTAATATCTTGTGGACTTACATCTTCAGAGGATGTAGTATCTACATAAAATAGCAAAATGGATATAAAAATATTTTTAGGGGAAAAAAAAGCCATTATAAAATTAATTATGCAGAATATGGAAATTCTTTTCAGTCATAGATAATACATCTGGATTTAACATATTTCATGGATTCAACCAGAAACTGGAACTAGGTGTAAGAGTTGACTCACTTAGTGAAAACACAAGAAGCAATGAGACAATCTCCCATGACCCTGCAAAGCAAAGCTAGAGCCTGGGTTGTTCTACATGGTTCTCTGTGCTAGAAGTTGGAGTGTTTTTAGGCTTTTTTTTAAAGCTTCTATTTCTCCTTTTCTCACTCTTTACTAGGTTTACCTTTTCCTTTGCTTGTTAGCTCATTAGCTGTTTATTATGAAAAGCCTAGGAAAGATTTCAGTTATTTGTATGATGTTTTAAATTTTTGAAATGATTTCAAATCAAATCCAGATTGTTTTGATAATTATTTCAGGTTGTTGCTATCAAAATTATACACAGGCAAATCAAATTAAAATTCCTGTTGCCAATAGTTACACCACAGTGCAAATAGCAGATGGCCTATACTTTATTATTAAACAACTGCTTGCATCTGAAGCCTGTAGAAGAGTTGAAAGTTGAAAAGTTGGTGGCTATAGTAGAGAATGCCATAGCTCCCAATTCTTTTCTCCTTTTACTGTTGAAATATCATCAGGAACCTCCAAATGCTCAGTACTACCTGTCCACTGTCCTCCTGCTAGGACCATGGACTGCACCAGGTCATTCATGGCTGGGATGCAAATGAAAGCAAATGAATCAGCATGGTTAATGTATATACTCTTATTTCTATTTTGTATTATAAATGAGCTGGTTTTTGTCTATGGCTTAATGCAAATGAACACCAAAAACTAAAACCACACCGTCATTCTAATTATGACATACATTTAGCTGAATGAAATGAGTAGGCCAAAGCTTGATAAATTTCAATGAGTATTTTTATCCCACCTCCACCCCCTTTAAAGAGAGCAAAAGGAATTTTACTCTGTACAACTGTCATGCTTTTGTGCAGTAATGTGCAATATAATTAGAATCCTTCATAGTGTGGTTTTATGGTGACAAAAATGGAATGAATAAAGGTAAGATGGAGAGTTCTTATACAGCATCATCATTGAAAATGATAAAGAGTCCTTGGTCAGAGCACGTTACTGAAGAAATTATTCATCTATGAATCAAATAAGTGTACCATTCAGTAAAATCCTGAAAGATGATATCCAAAGTGACAGACATTTAATGTGATTATATAATTACCAATTCAACTTAGAAAAACCAGAGGATTACTATATAAAGAATGACAAACATTTTCAAGAGTTACAAGCCATTTTATTTATTTATTCATTATATTTAATTTTGTTCATTAAGGAAATAAATTCCTAATGCTAAGGGTTTTGTTTTAAGCAAATTTATTTGGGAAAAAAATCTCTATGGCATATAATAAAGGTTTTTTTTCCTGCCAACTCTTAGAAAGTACTGGAAATTTATATTACATGTATGACTAAATATATGCATGCATATATATCTGAGCATGCATATAATGCAAATTCAGTGCCAGTTTAAAAAAATATTCTTTCAGTTCCTTTTATTAGAGGAAGACTGCACTTTGCAAAATAAGACAATTGGCACAGTTCAGAGAAAGGTTAGTGAAATATTAGTAATGGAAGCCAGTGTAGTCATTTGAAAGAAGCTGAACTGTCATAAAGTCTTACACATGGAACGATGGTAGGTCTTCAATTTTGTCTTTATCCTTCGGTCTCTTCCTCAAAAAGGGCAGTCTTCTCAGTGCAACCACTTTAATGTCAGAGCATGAGGAAAAACAGAAACAGAAAAAAGGGAGAAGAACAGATGGGAGTTAAATGTTGAAATTAAGGACAGAAATGAATGTCTGAGTTTCAGCTATGTATGCTATACTAAAGCTATTATTCTCTTGCTGCTGAGTGATAATGAAATATGAAATACGTCCTTTGATACTTTAAAATACCTGGAATAACACTGAAGGTAATGATAAGGAACAATATATTTTGAAAGCTTGGATCGGCTAGAGTTCTATCAATACAGTAACTGATTAGAGTCACTTATGGAAGGAAAAGTTTTTCTAGTTAAGTTGTAAAGGTTTACCTTTAAATAAGGGCTATTGGTGGCCCACAAAGCACACGTTATGAAAATATCTAAAGGCTTTTCAATCCTTTATGTTTTTCTACTTTTTAAATTATAAGGCTTAATTCTGGAAAAAACATAATTTAAGGAAAATACAAATTCTGTACAGGAGCATTTTAGTAAAATACATCAACCATAACTGGGGTGCCTGGGGATGATTAAAACATCTAAAGAAACTTTTAATATTTTCATTAAGGACTTTCATTATTAAACTCTACTGCAGAAAATAGGGGATTCTTGGTTTAAACTGAATTCTGGTGTATTTTTAGCAGCACCATGGAAATACACACTTGTTTGAGCAAAATATTTCAAAATATGACATTAGTAATTATATTAATATCATTTTGCAAAAGGTTGGCTGGTGGAAGAGAAAAGTATTCTGACAGTAGTAATAAATGCTAGCACTTAATATATAAGCTAATAGATAAGGAAGCACCCTAAAGCAAGCAAAAATGACAGAGAAATATGCGTTTATAACAGATATTCTGAAGAACTTTCTGAATGAGTTTATTAAAAAAAAATCAAAGGTAACTTCTAAAAAATTTTGTGAATGAAAATTAGGGTTATACATAGGTGTCAACAGCATACAAATAAAAATGTTCACTAGAGTCGTTCACAACATTCATAAACTACATTTTATCAGATTTGAATACAAAAAGCTATAACATCTTTTGGAATTGCAATTTAGGAGCTAGGGAAACAACCTGCATAAACAGACAGAGACTCTTCCAATGGACTGGATAAAAGTTTTAAGTATGCCAGTAGTGGAATGTGATCCCTCTTATGGCAGTTAGTTTGTAGATATACAATGTTCTTTTCCCAAACCATACTGAAATTAAGGGAATGTTAGCATGGTTGGATTTTGTGTTCCTTTTAAAACCTCTAAAATTGAACAACTGCAGGAAAGGAGAATATTACTTCCTTCTGATTCTTATTCTGGAAATGTTTCAGCAGAGAGTATGAAGGAATGACAAATTTATATTTAAAACAAACAAGATGCCCTAAAAAATGATTGTGCTTTTCTTGTGTATGTTCTCATATCTGCATTCAAGTATCTTCCTTTGATCAAAAAAATTAATTGCCTCCATTACCATCTCTTATTTAATAAGACTTTAGGTATTTTATTTCAAAAGGTGGCAGATAAGGTTGAATTACCTGGCACCTTTTTAAGGAAAACTTGATCTCTCTACAATATTCAGGTTTCATGTAGATTTGCTAAAAAGACTAGCAGAAGACCCAGGTAACAATAATCTTATGTGGGGGTAAAGAATTAAGCCTCTTGCTTGAGACTAACACACACACACACACACACACACACACATGGGGTATAGAATTAAATCTTTTTCTTGAGACTAATACAAACATATGTATGCATAACACACATTATGCATATATGTAGACATGTACATATGTATTGTGTGATGGTTTTTGTTCCTTACATATGGATTTTTAGAGTGATATAGGTGCATTCTGAAACATATCCTATAATGAATGTCTAATCTCCTTTACCCTAAAAAATACTCTTCTCAGAGATAATTCCCCCAAGGCTATAGTTAATTTTGAGTGTTTTGAGAGCTGCCCATAAGGAGAGTCTATCTTGGGGGCAAGTTTTAGCTATAGCTGTTTTTGCCTATTTACTTCATATACTTACTATATATAATATGTATATAATTTTACTATTATTCTATATAATATATATGTTTATAAGTATATAGATTATATAAACATACATACTACATTTATATAGATATAAATACATATTTTTAATTTAGTGACTCTGGGGTTAGTGTGAATGGATGCAAAGTACCCTGTTTACATATTGTAAGACCATTGCTAGTGGTCAACTTCTTGGACATCTTCAAAAGGCCTAACACTAGACTTTTTTCTCTCTTAAAATATGCTTCCTCAGGCCTTTCCTTTGCTCTTGCTGTTTAGCTAAGCATACTAGGAAAGAAATATAAAGACTATGAATTATATGTGATACATTATGACGTGTACTTCTGCTTTTGTCATTAAAAAAATGAAATCACAAGTTTATACACAAACTTCTATCACCACATCTATTTAATTTTAATTGATCATTTACCAACCACTCAATTCTCATAACCTTCAATTCATTCTAAACCATTAACATTCTCTTCAAATTTATATCTATTTCTCTTTGCTACCCCCCAATGTAACTTTGTTCCAATTTGACACCATCAATGTATAAGAATAAAACCTCATTATAAAATGCCTTATTATCTATTTAGTTATAAAGAATTATAAAAATGACCTCTTATAAATATTTCACACCTCATAATCACCCTATGAAGTGTGACACAAAGGTAAAAAAGGCTTGCCCTGTATTAGCAGAACTAGAAACTGGCAGAAGTATTCTGGCTCTCATTTCAATGTTCTTTCTATACTATTTTCCCTCCCTGGCCAAATGATGGTATCTTTGTGTATAGTATATCCCTAAACACACAATATCACAAATCATGTGGTTATGCAGTATTGCAGTGTGCAATGCATTTTATAATTACATGGCATTAAAAAGAAATGATTCATCAGACTATTATCCCAAAGGACTGTTGAAGTTATTTAGGAGGAATCTTTAGAAACGATTCTAAATCAGACTAGAAATCACAAATATTTAAAGAATTTAAACACTCACTGCTTCTTTTCTTGGTCCCCAAAGTTTGGCCATCTTCTAAAGAGTTTGGACCTGCTGAAGAACTGACTTGACTATCTTGATGAGGGAGTTGAAGAAATCCTTCACTGGAGTCTGAGCAGGTAGGTGTTAATGTTAGAGATTTCTGATGTTCCTGATTAATATCTTTCTTAGACGTCATCAATTTCCTCATTTTCAGAGTAATCCAGTTGCCTCTCCTAATAGTTTAAAAAATCTTATCACCCTAAAATTCAACATATAAATCCTTCACAAAATTAGATATCTTAACTTCTTTTGTCAAATCATGAATGAATAAATTTGGTTAATAGTACCTTCTAGGAGGAGATGGGTCAGAAAATTTGTATTGATTCATTATTTTTTCTTCTAATTTCTCCTTTTGTCTTCTTAATTCATTTAACTTCTCACTATAACAACAAAAATTACATGTTAGGATGGATATCATAACAAAAAAATCTATGCTATTTCTATTATACTATGGTGCTTCTCATTTCGGGAACAAGGGGAAGAGAAAAATTTAGTAAAGGTGAATCATGGTTTAATACTAAGACAATTAATTCACTGAGATGCCCAGGTTAAAATCCCTGATTTTACCAGATTCCTCTATTCTCAGTAGAGATCCAATTTAGTCCTGTCAGTTCTGTCTCTCATATCTATCTTTGTCTTTGATCTCAAGTTACAACTGCTTGTGATTATTTTTCAAAAGATCACTGCAACAGCCTTCTTAAAATTTACTAATCTCTATTCTCAAAAGCTCAAATTCATACTCTAGAAAAATGTTATAGGTGGTTTAAAAAAAATACAAATTCCATCATATTATTCTGTTCAAATTTTTCAATGACTTCTTTGTATGGCATAGAGAAACCTTTGAGAAGTGGCCCCTGAGTATTTATCCGCTATTCCAGTGATCCTCCTTCCTCAGTTTTGCTCCAGGCAATAACAATTACTTTTTAGATCTTACACCATACTATAACATACTTCGTGTTTTTACATTTTTTTGCTCTCTTGGCCTGGTATACCTCCTCAGGTGAGCTCATATTGAACTTTTAAGTCTCAGATCACTCAACCATCTCTGTAAAGTCCTCCTTGCCTCTCCCAGACTAAGGTACTCCTTTTTACTATGTTTGCTCTATTTCTATGACCTCCTACACATACCTCCATTATAGCAATGATTTGTATTGCTTCCTTTCTTTACCAGTTCTTTAAGAGCAGAACCCACATGTATAAACGTTAGTACTTCTGGTTCCTAACATAATGTGTAAAGCATAAGCATTCAAAAAAGTATATATTGAAATAATAATGTCAAAAATCAAGAAAAATTAGCATTGAGTTTCTCTGCCACTGGGTATGATGGCAATGATGAAATCATGCATAATATTTCAGAGTGCAAAATTATTTGGTACCTACATGTACTGTTTTTGTTCAACATGAAAAAGATCCTTGCTTTCCAGATTTCCTTCCAATAGTTTTCCATTCTGTAGCATTAATGTCTGAATTTGATCTAGCAGATATCGATTTTCTTCTTCTACATTTCCTTTAAGTTGGCTTAGCAACTGTTTAAAACAAACATTTATTTTTAAAATACCAACATTTAAATTTAACATAAATCACCCAAAACATCTGAAAAATACAGAGTACTTCACAAAGACTTGAAACTTCTGCTATTTGAGCAATTAGATGGTTACACATTGACCATAACGTGAGTGATTTATTTTAGAGATGACAGCTAGAGTGCTGGGTTCTGTGTTCTACCCATACATTTCCTTAATTCTCATGAACACTGGGTTTTAACATATAATAAATTATCTAGTTCCAAAAGCATAGCTTTCTTCAAAACTGTTTAACTCACAGTCTGAAAATTCAATTCAAATCTATGGCCATCTATTTAAGTAGCTATGAAAACTGGACAACTTATTTTATTTTCTTAGTTTCAATGACTTCATCTATAAAATAAGGATAATAATTCCCACCTCAACCAGGGTCAGGTGAGAATCCTGGCCACAGGAACCTTCACTTTTATCCACAGTTGGTCAGGGTCCCAGGACCCCACCCAGAACAGAAGTTGCTGTGCATTTGCTGAATGAATGAATGATGCTCATTTAAGAATCAAGGCCAGGGCAGACACAGTGCAGTAAATTCAAAAGTTTAGGGAAAGGATTAAAGATGGCGAAGTGGGAGGTGACACAGAGGGCTCCTCCTAAAACCACATATAATATGAAAATATAATTAATACAACTAATCCTGAGAAAGCAACAGGAAAGGAGGCTGTGCCAGATTGCACACATGTGGAAAAAAGAACAGACCTCATGGAATAGGGTAATGTACCAAAGCTGTGACCTGGCGGGACCCAAGTACTTGCCTCACCCCAGCTCACTGGTGGGAGGAAGAGAAATGGAGCAGGGAGGGACTGGAGGCCTGGGACTGCTGAACACCTAGCTCTGTAGATCTGCTCTGGGAGCATAAACCTACATTTCACGGTGTTCTTGTGATTAGTGGAGGTGGAATACCTGGAGAGACTGATTCCAGCCGCTTATGGAAAACTGATCCATATCCAGCTGCTCTGGGACAAAAGAAAGGCGGGCAGTCTGAGACACTTCCTAACAGTGAGAGGGCTGCTAAAGGGGCAAGGATGGCACAAAGCTTACTGCTTAGGAGAAAGGACAGGTAGACAAAATTGTCCAGACACACTCTGCCCAGCAGGTTGGGAGCTTTCACGATCTTCAGGTGCTTCATCCCCCTGGCTGGATATGCATTCCAAGGACCCCCACTGTGACATGCAGCCTGCTATGCCTTCTGCCTGGCCAGCCTGCCACTGGCTCACAAACCGGCAGCCCCTGCCATGGTGTCAGGCAAGACAGAGGGAAGCCCCGCCTAGAGCAACTACATTCGCAAAGCATAGAGGCATACACCTGTGTGCTCAGTTCACTGGTTCTGGCAGTGGAGACAGGCATAGCAGCTGGGAAACAGGAAACAGCTCTTTCCTCCCCCCAGATACCAACACTGCTCCCTTGCAACTCCTGACACTGATACAGGGGCTGAGCAGCTCCAGAGTAGAGCTTCTCAGCACTAGAGGGCACCACATACAAATATAAAATGTCAAAGAAACCTGGTTCAAATCAAAATCATACAAACACCAGAGTCAAATGAAACCGATCTCATCAATCTTCCAGAAAAGAGATTTCAATATAAAAATCATAAACATGCAAATGGAGGTACAAAAAAATATCCAAGAACTCAGGAAAAAATTTCGGTCAGATATCCAATCATTAAAGAATACAATGGAGGGTTTTAAAAGCAGATTAGATACAGTGGAGGAGATGATAAATTAAATAGAAATTTGAGAAGAGGAATACAAAGAAGCTGAGGCACAGAGAGAAAAAAGGATCTGTAAGAATGAAAGAATAGTGAGCGAACTTTTGACCAATCCAAACGGAACAATATAATTCAAACCAAGACAGACAGAAATGTTGAACTTTTCCTTTATCATTAAAAAGCAGTTAAGTGACAAATATAAACTAATTTAAACAGCACTGTTTTTTTTTTGCTAGTACTTCTTTTTAACTTTATAGTGTTCAAACTAAAAGGTGACATTCTTTACTTGTGAATTCATACCTTAGGTTTGAGAACTCAGGGGAAAAGTACACACATCCATTCACTTTTTAATAATGAGCTAGAACTTTAGTGCATATTTCTTCTTATGAATGTATGTTGGGTACAACACCCACTCCCACCCCAAAAACCTCTGTCCCAGTGGAAAAGGCTTAAGATATTCATCTGAAGAACTAGGGGGCATTCTTAGAAGTTCAGGCATAAGAACCTGATGTCTATGTCTATTAGACTGTAGAACACAGAATAAAACAAAAGGCTAATAGTGGTCCCTCTCAATGCCTCTTCAGCAGAAATGAAGACTTCCCAATATGATTTTCTGCCAGAGTGCTTAAGGAACTTAAAGGATTATCATATATATAGTATAGAATAGGGAAAGCAAAAAAGAGCCAAGCATGCTATCTTCCAATACACACCAACCATTTTTCATAGGACCTATTACCAATCTGCTCTTGTAAATCTCAAAATTCTTTTCAACACATAGATTTAAGTAACTGCCAATTGTTCAGTGTTGATTTTTAAGTTCAACCTGATTTGCATTCTCTAGCTTAGTGGTTAAAATTCATAAGACTTTGGAAATTTTAAGGTCTGGGTTTGAATCCAGCAATCTGATTCTGCCATTTATTAGCTGTGATCCTGAACCTCAGTTTTCTAATCTAATGAAGAGAATAACTATAAAGAACTGGTCATAAAAATTACATAAATATACAGAAATACAACTAATGAAGTCCTTAGCCCAGTACTTGCTACTTAGTTAACATTCAATAAATAGTACCTACCATGCTTCCTATTTTACTTGGCATTCAGTATTAGTCTTGATCAAATATTTTAATATTATTTTGAAACAGAAGTATAAAATTATAATTGTAGTAAGTCAGATATCACAAGGAAGCCTTATTACCAAAACTTCATTAAAAAAAACAATTCACATTTACTTCTTAGTTTAAGAAAAGAAGGAAACTTGTAAACTATAGTACTAATTTCAAATTTCAACTTTGAACCAGATGATGCAAATCACTAATGGTTCCAATAAAAAAATTTTTAAAGCCTTGAGTTAAAAATACATAAAATATTTGTCTTAAATCTAAGTAATTATATTTACCTCTCGTAATGTAACCAAAGTTTTTATTTCAATAGATGCTCTTTTCATGAGTTCCTTATTCTCTTTCACTAATTCTTTCAGATGAATGTAGGATTCTTTATAAACACCAATCTCTTTGAAGAGGGTTTTATTTTCTTTTTCCAAATTTCCAATTTTCACATTATTTTCTTCTAACGTAGTATCTTTTATTGCTGCTTGTTGTCGGAGTCTCTTATTTTCCTTCTCCAATTGTTTCTTATCCTTTTCTAGTTGAGAAGTCTCTTGCTCTAATGACTTTTCTTTTTCTAACTGTTCCGGGTTTTTGCTAGATACTTTTAACTCTTCTAGGTTTTTTTTGCAATGTTTGATTTTCCATCTCTAAGTCTTGAAGTTCATTCTCGAATTGCTGAATTTTCTTCTTGCTGTTTTCTAGATCTTTCTGTAGCCTTTGATTTTCGGTATCTAAACCCTGGTAGCTAACTTCCAAGCATTCTGTTTTCTCAAAAGTTGCTTTCATGAGCTCTAAACCCTTCTTAAGCTGTTCTTTTTCACTTTCCAGTTCTTTATTTTCTAGTTGTAGCTGAGCCATTTTCATGCTTGCACACTTCAAAGATTCCACATTGCTTCGCAGTTCTAAGTTTTCCTCGTCAAGTTGGGAATTCTCTTTTTCTAGGGATTGTAACTGTAAAGTAAGGTTTTGAAAGCTATCCAGTGCTTTTTAAAATTTCCTATTCTCTCTTTCTAGCTCTGAATTTTCTTGTTTCAAGGCCTCAATTTTTTCACAAGTAGTTTTTAAATTGGTTATCGTTTTCTGTAACAATTCATTTTCTTTTTCAAGACGATGTAACTCATTTTCAAGTTCCTCTGCTCGTTCTCCTTTTTCTTTATAATGTTCCAATTCTTTTCTAATTTGTCTTTTTTCAAATTCAATCTTGCTTAGCTTGCTACTTGTTTCTTTGATAGATTCATGGAGAATTTTATTTTCTTTTTCAATGTCTTTCACCCTTGCTTCAGCACTTATCTGGGAGCGCTGCCTTAACGAAGACACAGTTTTATTCAGATGTTCATTTTCCTGTTCTAATATTTTCATCTGATTTTTAAAAAGAAAGGAGAAAATTAAAACCTTAAATTAGCATAAACTAAATATTTTTCCATTCCAAAAACCAATGAAGAAATCAGAACATGAATGTGTATAACATGTCTATCTTACTTTTAATTCTGACAAATATTTACTGAGACACCATTGTATAAACACACGGCCAGGTTGGCCAGATCATTAAAGCTCATGTCTTTCAGGAGTTCATAATGTATTCAGTATTACTCAAAATGACCTTTAGTTATATACAGTTACATTTTTAATTTCAAGTATGAATACTGGTGAAATACACACACATATTTACTTGAATTTCTTTGATAAGCTTTTAATTAAATTAATTTTGCAATGTATATATACATTGGTCTTCAGTAAATATTTTGCTCTATTTTACATGTATATATATATATATGGGTGTATATATATATATGTAAGTGTGTATTCATTTCCCAAGAGAATTTTAATTTGCAAACATCAAAATGATAAAATCTGGAACATCTGAACTAATCCATCCAATTTATATCATGGCCTAATGTAATGGTTCTTAAAATTCAGTGTGTTAAACAATCACTTAAGAACTTACAGAAGTACAGATTCATGGTTGGCTATAGAATTTTTGTTCTGTAGCTCTACGGAAATCTGTATTTTTATTAGTGGCCTGAGGACTATACCTATATATATATAATATAAACAAATCATCTTACTTCTAAAAAATAAATAGAAATTTAAAAACAGGAAGTCATTGAATCTATCCAGTTTCCTCAAGCATAAAATGACAATGACCAATCAACACTTGAAAGCAAATGTGAAAGTACCCAGAAATGTTGCTGCCACCACTTCTCCCTCCTCAGTGAGGGTACAGTACAGGGGTGTTTCCCTCCGCCTCTACTCAGGGACTTCAGAATCTGTAGCCCTCTTCCACAGATACTTTAAAGCACAGGTATGGCAAAATTTTATACCAGAAGATTATTAAGCATAATGGCAATTTAAAAAATTTTAAGCTTTCCCTTCAACTTTCCTAAAATATGAGAGAGAATTATGTAAAACCATAGTTACTTGAAAATCTAAAAAATTCTAAAATATTTCCCTTTAATGTTCTATGACATTTTGTTTGCATACATTTTAAAAATAACTTCAATAAATGTAAAATAAATGAAATTTATTTAAATAGTTAAGAATTCTAAGAATTTTGATCATTTTATGTAAAGGAAGTTTAATTTTTCTACTTTAACCTTAACAAAAATGGAAGATAATCTCACATGGAAAAAAGTCTTCCCATATTATCTCAAAAGCATCAACTTGCAAATCTTATCCAGGAACTCAAGTCAACATTAATTTCCATGTTCAGGAAGGTTTTAGCTATTAATAACTAATGGTTCTACCTTTACTAAAGATTGAAATATATGGATAACAGGTATTCAATTACTCTCATTTTACATCAGTGAAATTCAAGTGAAACATTCAGTTTATAAGACATCTTTCAAGCAATGACTTTATCAGAAATTGCTAGAATCACTAAGAATTTACAAATTAGACTGCAAAGCTAATTTCAAAATCAAATTATAATTTCCAGATCCAACTATAATGACAACCAAAATAAAACTTCCAAATACTAAATGGCTACTCCTACACTTTAACACTATATTGGTTGTCAAATGCTTATTAATTGGTTAATGGATTAAAGATATAAAAAATGCTTTAAATGAGTAAAAATTTTTTAAGAAAATCAAGGAGTCTTTTCACATTACCTAAGGCAGTGGTCCTCAAAGCATGGTTCCAAAACAACAAGATGAGCATCGCCTAAGAATTTCCTATTAATAAGAACTCTTAGCCCTTACCCCAGACCTACCAAATCAGAAACTCTGGGCAGGGGGCTCAGCAATCTGTTTGAACAAGTCTTTACAATGATTCTGATGAATCTATAGTTCAAAACCACTATTGTAAGGGTGGGGAGATTTCCATAACCAAGTCTAGAAACCCAGAATCTATCAAAGGGAAAACTAGACATGGTTGACTACATATAGAAATAAAAACTAATTCATAAAGACATATGTGTAAGAGTATTTATTGCAATACTGTTCCCAGTGACCAAGAACTGGAAACAAAAGCGAAAGCATATATGGGGGAAAAAATGTGATGACAGGTGATCCTGATAAAAGCATCACATGTGTTCCTATGACATGATTCTATTTATATAAAATGTGTGTGTATGAGTGTATGCAGAAAGATATGCAAAAATAAGTTACTTGGATCTATCACACAATTGGAATGCTTCTGATTCAACCAGGCCTAATTAAAATTCAGGTTTTGTAATGCCTAAATTGTGGTCTCTAAACCATTTACCACTGAAAGGAACAAGGGCTTTCTGGAGAAATGACTGTTTACAGGTCTCAGGCCAGAAATATTCAAGAGGAGCCTAGAACATTTTGTCAAGGCAGAAAGCAAGGTAGCTTACAAGGAGTGCTAAGGTCATGTCCTAAGGATTAAGGAACCATTTTAAAGAGTTATGACAGTAACAAACATAAATGCAGTGGACTGAAACACTTCAAATATTTTAAATCCATGAGTTCATAATGACAGTAAAATAAAAAAAACCCTCATTATCTCAGGATATGAGAGAACCAATTCCTTACTTGGAAACTTGTAAATAAAGGGAAAGACTCAAACATTCATCCTGCTTTTTCCATAGAGCTATTCCTCAGAGTAACCAACGACTGATTTTTGTTTAAACCAATAATTTTTAAGAGAAAGTTTTTCTTTATAGAAATAATCTAGCTACCAAATTAAGAACAATATCAAAATTTTGCAACTTTGATTAAGGGATCCAAGCATATGATTTCCATGACAACTAACATTACAAAGAGAGAGAGAGAGACAACCAATCAATCAATGTGCCTCTTGATTGAAATATACTCCTTATCAATATTCTTACTAAAAACTCAGTTTGAACCTGATTATGCCTACAGATAAAACAAGAAATACAGGAGACAAAAGAACTTGCTAAGTGACACAAAAAGGATGCAAGCAGCAAAATCTAGATTGTCGGGTATAGTTAGACAAAAATCCTGGTTTCTTCAAGAGGAAACTTGCTATGAAAAAAGAATAAATCTATACACTAAAAAAAGACTTAAGAGTCTATTATTTTGTAATATATTAAAACCAGAGTCTTTTTTGATTGAACATATTCATCTTACTTGGATTTCGATTCCAACAAAATGTTAAAAAAATCATAACAGATTTGGAGAAACTGAAATACTGACCAAAACACATTAATTTTTTAAGTGTGATGTCACTGTTCTTGTTTTCTGAAAAAATTTCTTACTTTTTAGCAATACATACTGAGATATTTATTGGTGAAATTATACCAAGTCTAAGACTTATTTCAACATCATCTAGTGGTTGTAGGGAGAGTAGACAGTGTAGAAGTAAGAAATAATTGTTGAAACTGAATAATAAATATAGGAGTTTATTGCTCCACATTTATGTGTCTGAAAATTTTCATAGTAAGGTAAAAAAATGAGAGTACATTAAAAACTGGAAAATAAGTACTCTATGGCAGTGCTTTAATTGATACTTTTACATATATTTTTTTGACATTACATGAAAAATTAATTTGTATTTACCTTTTTATTTAGTCTTTGATTTTCTTTCTCAACTTTCAGGATTTTGGAAGTGTTACCTTCTGCAGAATCTATACTACTCCGAAGTTCTTCTACAGTTTTTGTCAAACTCTGGTTTTCCATTTCTAATTTCAATAAACTACTTGATGTCAATTCATTCACCTCATGGCCCAAAGATTTTTGTGGTACTAAAATATTGAAAAATATATATTTGGTAAATCTGTGTTTACTCTTTACTAAATTGTTGAGTCTAAATGTACTATATCACCTGGTCCTGAACTTTATAAAATTTTCTACAGTGATACAAGATATACACAATAAAAAAATAACATATTAAAGACAGGTAAATCTTGAATTTTTATTGCATCCACAGACATTCTAGTGGGGGAAAAATGTACAAAATCTACACTGAAGAGACTAGAGTTTCAGCTCTCATTCCATGAGAAATCAATTACTTGACAATGTCCCAGCCACTTTAAGTTCAATGAGTCTTAGGTTACTTGCGCAAAATATAGTTATTGCCCTGTGTGCTCTCTCCTGGAGTCATTGTTTGATTCAGGTAAGAAGTATAAAACATCCTATCCCCACACCTTCAAAAATTAAAGGACAGTTTGGGTTAAAATATCCTAATCTGATTCTGAAAAAGGAAAGACAGCATACACTGGTCACCTTGAAAAAGTCTTTCTCTAAATGAAGAATCCCTAGTAAACCTAAGTGTAAAGAGCAATATGCACTTCACTTTGCCAAAGAAAAAAAACTAAACAGATTTGAGCATTACATTTTTTAAATTAAGAAAACTCATTTTCTAGTTCTGTAAATGATACTCTTCGGTAAGCTAAAATAGTTATTTTTAAGTAACCCTGCAGCAGACTCATTTAATCTGTTAATTAATAAAAAATATTTACTTTGATGACATAAAAATATTAGGGTTTACAAATAAAATATGACACCTGTAATTTATTTTAAAACCCTAGATTTCAGGAAAGGCAACAGAAGTATAGGAGGGCATTTCTAGGTCTGTCTACTTTTGTGTATATTGAAATTCTCCATCATAAAAAGTAAAGAAATATGAACACACAAAATAATATCCCCATAGGCAAACATTCTTTCCAAATTAGGTATGATAGACTAATCCCTTAGATTTTAAGCAAAGAAAGCCTCGGTTCTTCTATCTAGCTTTTATTCTAGTCTGCATATTATTAATCTTTTAAAAGTTGATGTACTAGGGAATCACTCACTTTTAAAATTCCATTAGTTGTCCAAGTCTTCTTTAGTAAAACTTGTCTACAAGATTTGTAGTCATGCATTTCAATTAAACAAGATTAAGCTATTAATACAATATACCTTAGTAATACTTTTAATACAGTAACCGTGCTTGAAAGAAGTTTTAGGTCAGACACTGAAGAATTAAAAGGATGCTTACAACACATTTTGAACAACATGGGGATCTACCCATGTTATAATCCTAGGTGAAAAAGAACCTGAATTGTATACACACTGATCTGATAATGTCTAAAGTATCTATGGACGTGTAAAAAAATTCTGGAAGCAAATTTTGTGAAATGTAAAAGTGACTTAAGAAAGTATTAGTTTCTTGAATTTCTCACTTTATATTTTTCTGCATTTTATATTTTTTCCAAATTTTCTATAAGGAAAGTCCCTTGTATAACTTAAAAATCCAAACTATAACCCATTAGAATGGATTTGCAGGTCTATAACCCCAAGTAAGGATGATGACGATGATATAATGATAATAATAATTATAAACATTCAAATGCTTACGATTTACAAGCACTATTTTAGGGGCTTCATAAGTATTAATAAATTCAATCTTCACAACAGCCCTACAAGGTATTTACTGTTATTGTTCTCACTTAACAGATGAGAAAACTGTAATTTTAACTACTTTGGTATAGAAAACATTTAAGTCTGAATTGCTTTCCTTGTAACAATTCATAAAGAATACAATAAAAAATGTTTCACAGGTATTTTAAGAAACACATCTCAGCAAGTTCACTGACTGAATATCATCACTTACGACAAAAGGAATTCCTAGAATTTGGAATTGGGTTCTCAAGTATAAAATTAGGAAAAGCCTAATGGTAATAAATATGACAAATCATCTGTGAAAGTAATTACTCTGTTAGCACCAGACTATAAGCTTTCTCAGACCTTATATCTATGTCACCACTGTATCTTCAGCCTGCTATAATATTTTACACATGGTAGATGCTTATTAAATATCTGCAAAAGGAAGGAAAGCAGGTGAAATAATCTAATATTGATTAACTGAGGAATTATGGAACCAGTCTAATTCAAATAAATGTGACCTAGATGTAATTTCAATAAACATAGCAGTACTAGCATTCTCAAAGCTAAATAAATATATGTATATGCTCAGCTTTAAGTAAGAGGACAAGTCAATATGGAGCCTATGAAAAAAGAGTCAAAAAGTTAAAAATTTATCTAAGGGTCCTTTATCATCTCCAGGGTATAACTGGGCTGGACTGGTTGGTAGGTATAATCCTAAATTGCTGATTACATATATTGATGAAAATAGCCATTAAGATCCTTAACTTGCTTTTAGAAATCTGGCTACATATTCTCCTAAGAATCTTTTCTCTGCATTTTGACTTTATACTTAGGTTTGCCTCTAGTCAAAGAACAGGTTGACCAGCTAAGTATGACTTTTTTGTACTATCTAGTAGATGGCTATATTTTTCAAAATAAATTAATTAACTGGTATTCCAGCTTCCTGTGATATTAACATGAAATAATGCCTAAACAACTGATCAGATCTGTCACTGTACTTATAAAGTTGAGTTGTAAGACATGTAAAGATAAGGACCAGATCCAGGAATGTGGTAATTAAAATTACTCTAGACATCATATCTAGAGAGACATCTCCAGGCAGGGAATATAAAACTGCAATAAAATATCCAGAAATGTAAGCATAAATATGACTTCATTTACTCACTCATCATTTTAATTAAAATGATATAGGGAATACCTTCAGAAAGTTAACTAGTTCTGTATATTTGTTCCAGCTGCCAGCCAAGATGTATGATTCATCCATACTCCGTTTCTGTGCCATTTCCAAAGTCATATTTTCTTCCATTAATTCTTCTATCTTTTTTCTATCCATATCACGTTCCTTTTTCATTAGCAGGGAGGAGACAGAGAAAAGAAGCTAAGAAACTGTACAATTTCAAGCTAATATTTTATTATTACTCTTATTTATCAGAAACTGAACAATATGAGGATAAATTTTGAGTTCCTTAAAATTTTTCACAGTTTGAAGGTAATAGTCAGTTACAATCATTACTACTGGTCATTACACTGAGCAGGTGTCTGACATCCTTAAAAAGTAATCTCTGGGCCACTGAAAATTTCTTCATATGAATATACCATTTTGGTAGTATAATAAATAATTTCCTACCCAATGCTAAATTTTAGCAAATAGTTTTATTTCTGTATTTTTAAAGGCATGTTTACACAATAGCTTCTTAGGGTTTTTGGAAAAGTAGAAGATAAAATTTAATAAATAATAATTTTGAAGGAGCATAAAATTCTACCACTCTGGTATTTATATAAAATTTATATGTAATTTATTTATATATAATTTATTTAGCTAGTTTTCTGTTAAAGCCTCAAGGGCACTAGACATCCTTGTCATTACAACGAAATTAGAAGAAGCCTGTATTTTTTTTCTTAGAGGCCATGTTACCTTAAAATACTTACCATTTCCATAACATGCAGTTTAGCTTTTAGTTGTAAATTCTCTTTTTCTAATTCACGCAATTTATCAGAACGAGCTCGAGTGCCTTCTAATTGGTCCTCCAACATGGTTTTTGTTTCAAATAAAACTTGTCTTCTTTTAATTCCTAAAAGCATTTCAAATAGGTTTTATTTACAACAAATGGGTTAACATCTGTTAAATTTTCTAACTCTGACACATAAAAATTCTTTATTGTAAAATAAGACATTAAGCTGTCTTCACCAACAATTCTGTGCAAGAGTAAAGCGCTGAGGAATATAAATACAGCTGGTGTTTCCTTGGTTTCATATTTCCCCCCAGAATTTAAGCTATTATGCAAACAAAATCTCAGTACTTACATTAGAATGAGTAATGCTATTATAATTTCACATGAAATTATCAGTATACATTTAAATTCTTTAATCACAAGGATAAGGAAGTACATATAAGTAGTCTTTCAAATATTTAAGACACAATACCAATAGAACCAGGGCTTTATTTACGTACTGAAACAGATTTAAAGACTTCTCTCTACTTAAACTATACCTTGAAAGTATATGGTTTGGGGTTTTTGAGTAAAATATAAGACATAATGTCTGCAGTATATAAACTAAAGTCAAGAGAAACTATATTAAAATGGTGGCATTTATAGATCGTAAAGTATCTAAAGATTCCTTAGCAGTGCCATGCATACATGCATTTCAATAACTGTTGAAGAATTAATATGCACCCTATTTCTGAAGTCCACTAGATCTACTTACTGGTAAATGTCAGGCTAAAATGTCCTAACTACTTCAAAAAATTTTTTTATTGAAGTAAGTTGATTACAATACTATATTAATTTTGGTGTATGATGATGATTTGACAATTATATACGTTATGAAATGCTCACCACAGTAAGTGTGATTACTGTCACCAGAGAAAGTTGTTATAGTATTACTGACTACATTCCCTATGCTGTTCTTTTCATGTCCATGACATATTATTTTAAAATTGGAAAGTTTGTACCTCTGTATATCCGTCACCTATTTCGTCCATTCTCCTCCACCCCCATCATCTATGGCCTCACCAGTTTGCTCTCCTTGTTTATAGTCTATTTGTTTTGTTTTGTTAGATTCCACATGCAAGTGCAATCATATGGCACTTGTCTTTCTCCGACTTATTTCACTTAGCATATCCTCTAGACCCATCCATGCTGTTGTCAAAGGCAAGAGTTCATTCTTTTTTAAGACTGAGTTATACTCCAGTGTGTATACATACCACTTCTTCTTTATCCATTCATGTATAAATAGACATTTAGGTTGCTTCCATATCTTAGTTACTGTAAATAATACTAGGGTAAACATTGGGGCACATATATCTTTTCAAATTAGTATTTTTGTTTTCTTTGGGTAAATACCCAAAAGTGGAATTACTTGGTTGTGTGGCATTTTTAATTTCTTAAGGAACCTCCATACTGTTTTCCATAGTGGCTGCACCATTTTACATTTCTACCAACAGTGCATGGTGACAGTTCCCTTTTCTCCACATCCTCACCAACCCTTATCTTTCTGACACTAGCCACTCTGCCTAGCATGAGGTGATATCTCATTGTGGTTCTGAACTGCATTTCCCTGATGATTAGTGTTGTTGGCCATCTGCATGTCTTCTTTGGAAAAATGTCTATTCAGTTTCTCTGCCTACTCCTTAATTGGACTATTTGTGTTTTGGGTATTGAGTTGTATAAATTCTTTATATCTTTTGGATATTAATGCCTTATTGGAAATTTAATCTGAAAATACATTCTCCCATTCAATAGACTATCTTTTCATTTTGTTGAGTTTCCTTTGCTGTACAGAGGGTTTTTAGGCCTGTGTCCACGAGTTTACTGCCTGTTTTCTTTTAGAAGTTTTATGATTTTAGGTCTTACATTTAGGCTTTTAATTCATTTTGAGTTTACTTTTGTGTACGGGGTAAGAAAGTAGTCCAATTTCATTCTTGTGCATGTAGCTGTCCAGTATTCCTAACACCCTTCATTAAAAAGACTCTTTTCCCCATTGTATATTCTTGATTCCTTTGTCAATATATATATAAATTAACCCATAAGCATGAGTTTATTTCTGGGTTCTCTATTCTGTTCCATTAATCTGTGTGTCTGTTTTTGTGCTTATACCATTGAATACTGTATCTTTGTACTATAATTTGAAATCAGGGAGCATGATAACTCCTGCTTTGTTCTTCTTTTTCAAGAATGCTTTGGACATTCAGGGTCTTTTGTGGTTCCACACAAAGTGTAGGATTATTTGTTCTAGTTCAGTGAAAATAAGCCATTGTTACTTTGACAGGGATTGTACTGAATCTGTAGATTGCTTTGGGTAGTATGGTAGTAAAAATATTCATTCTTCCAATCCATAAGCATGGTCTATCTGTTCATTTATTTGTCATCATCAATTTTTTTTTCAATGTCTTACAGTTCTCAGAGAACTTTCATCTCTTTGGTTAAATTTATTCCTGGATATTTAATTCTTTTTGATACAACTGTAAATGGGTTTTCTTCATTTCTCTTTCTGCTAGTTCATTATTAGCATATAGAAATGCAACAGGTTTCATTATTAGTATATAGAAATTCTAATCGTTTCTTGGTAGAGTCTTTTGGGTTTCTATATAAAGTATCATATCATCTGCAAATAGTGACAATTTAACCTCTTCCTTACTAATTTGGATGCCTTTTGTTTTTTTCATTTTCTTGTCTGATTGCTGTAGCTAGGACTTGCAATACCATGAAAAAAGTGGTAAGAGTGGGCATCCTTGTCTCATTCCTGATCTTTGAAGGAAAGATTTTTTCAGCTTTTCACTATTTTCATGCTAGCTGTATGTCATATATGGCCTTTATTATGTTGAGCTACATTCCCTCTATACTCAATTTGTTGAGAGTTTTTATAATGAATGAATGAATTTTGTCAAATATATTTTCTGCATCTATTGATGGATTGTATCCTTCTTTATGTTAATGTGGTGTATCACACTGACTGAAGATAATGAACCATCCTTGCATCTCTAGAATAAACCACAGGTGGTCATGATGAATGATTTTTTTATTTTTTAATTCAGCATGCTTATATTTTGTCAAGGACTTCTGAATCTATGTCACCAGGAATGAACTAGTTTCTAACTACTTTCACTTATAGTATTTTCACTTCTTGAATTTGCATACAGCTTCCTTATCCCCATAATGAAAGTGAACCAAATTCTCCCATTTACAATGAAGAAACTAAAAAAAGAAAAAAGAATGCAGAAGCAAGCACTGTCAAATTCTAGCTGTCAAACTCAACTTCATATAACACTGAAGCATAACCATTAAGTAAGAAAAATATTCAGAGGGGAGGGAGAGGGAGAAAAAGGGAAGGAGCGTGAGCATGTGCTGAGAGAGCCTTCACTGATCCCACTTTAGTATTCTGCATTGAGCAGCAAAGAGAAATACATTTTGCTTTCACTTCTAGGAACATGTTTGAATTAGTTAGAGATACACACTTTATTTTGACTATGAGAGGACTCAAGTCTTCCCTACCTATAATGCAAAATAACGGAATGATAGAAGAACCCCAAAGAATTCAATGAAATTAGTTATGTCCCCAAACCCTTTTTACAAGTCTAAGTGATATGCTCACCCATCATAAAATAAACACCTGGAAGTATTTACAGTTTGTCAACATTTCAAGAGTTTCTTACATTTATTAAGTGCATTTGAAATGCACTTTGAAAAATCGCAACAATTTCAAAGAAAAAAATTGTGAGTGGCTTAAATTATGCAACATACCTCAACTCTTGCCTTATAAAATTCAGTATCATGCAGCCTTTCTTTATATCTGCTGACTTCACTTTCCAGCTGATCAACTCTGACTGCCTTCTCTTGAAGTGCATCTAATTCATCTCGGTACATTCTTGCAGAACGAGCATCCGAAAGCAAGTTCATGTTCTAAATATAAATAAATATTAATATCTTAATATTGTTTTCTATTTTCAAATTGATAACCTTTGGTTGCACAACTTGATGAATTTGCTAAATAATAAAAAAATTGTATACTTTAAAGTGTGAATTTACTGGTATGTAAATTATATATCTCAAGTTGTTTTTTTTTAAATGAACAGATAAAAGTTTTTTTAAAACGAAGAATAAAAAGTATTTTAAAATATTTTTTTTACATATAAATATACAAACTTACACTTACATACAATTTTTCTGCAGTATTCTGTATTAGGAATATAAAAAATATTCAGGATATTTTAAAATAAGTGAACCTCTACTTAACACAAATTTTTATGTAATGTTATATATAGGAATATAAAAAGTATTCAGGATATTTTAAAGTAAATGCACTTCTATTTAACATAATCATTTATAATTAACTTAAGGTGAAAAAGTTAACTTTAAAATACTGGGTAAGAACACAGAAGAGGCAAACTGTATTACTAAAATTCATCATTACGTACTTTCGAAAAATAATGTTTCTATCCAGGTAATGTAACAAAATTCTGCTCAGTATTTTTTAATATTTCCAAGGGAATGCTTAGTTACATATCTTAATGTCATTTCAGGCAAATTAAAATTCAACCTTTTATAAGTCCTCATAATACTTTAGAACAGCAGCTACCACACTGTGATCCAGGGACATCTGTGGGTCCCTGAAACCCTTTCAGGGAGTTCATGAGCTGAAAACCATTTTCAAATAATACTAAAACATTATTTACCCTTTTGCTCTCATTCTCTCACAAGAGTACAGTGGAGCTTTCCAGAGACTACATAGCATGTGAAATCTCAAGAGACTGAATGCAGAAAACAGATATGAGAATCTGGTAGTCTTCAATTAAGCCAGGCATTAAAGAATTTGCAAAAATGTAAAAGTACGAGTCTTCTTAATTTGGGGTGGGGGGGAATAATGGTTATTTGGTTGACATAATTTTTAGCATAGAATGGGTTGTATATTCTTTATAAATGAATTAATATTTAGTTTTTAAAGTTTTAATTTCAGGTATAGTAAATACCAGTAGATACAATCCACATTAAACATCCTTATTAATTTTCAAGAGTGGGAAAGAGTCTTGAGATCAAAAAGATCGAGAATCAGTTTTAGACAGAACACACATATAAAGAATTCTGCTACCAAAAGTAGAAAGCAACCACAGCATATTTAGAAATAAATATCATGATTCCCAGTGTCATTCATCTAGCAAGGTTCCAGTTTATGATCCTGCAAGTAGAATATTCCCTCAATTTAAAATGGCACGTTAGGGTAAGGAAAAGAAATAATTGTCCAGCTTACCACAGTCCTACCGTTTATGGTTAAAGAAGACCTCAAGCACTACCTTCAAATGGAAATGAAACCTTATAGTTATTAGAAGAAGTGAACTCTTAAACAATCTTGGTTCAAGATTAAGAAACATAAAGCTTTAGTAAACTAAAAATAATTTTTTTAAAGTAAAAAATTTTTATCTTAATAAGAAAAAAGTGAAAAAGCAAAAAACATTCTATCGTATATAAGTTAACATAAAGCACCAACAAAGAGCAGAGACCTAAGGAGACACATATAACCAGTACAGGTTACAGTACAGGTGCTCCAGCTTCCAAGCCCACTGAAGTCAAATGCACATAAAAGAGAAACTTGGAACTGCCCTCTGCCTAAGAGGCTCCTCTGAATCTTAGTGAGGTTGGAGTAACACTGAAGTAGAAAAAAGAAAAGTCCAAAGACCTTGATTTCTAATCTTGGCTCTAGAATTTGTGAAGAGAGACACTGAAAAGTCATCAAATTTCTTAAAGCATCAGCAACCTCATAATTTGTTAAAGTAAAAGTTATAAATTATAAGGAGAAAAATTAATTCCCAATTGCTTAGCAGTCCTACATAATAAAAGTTCCAGGTACAAACCTCTTGTTGTAGCCTTTTTAATTCTATTTCCATTTGCTCAAGTTCTTTGCAGTCCAATAACTCTTCAGTATTTTCGTCCCTTAAATGCAAAAAATATTTATTTTATAATAAGCTTACTGCTTTTGAAAACTATGATCAGCATCTGCATTAATACAAATGTATTATTATTACTAAATATCTATTTGAACACAGCGTTAGCCATAACCCCAACCAAGGGGAGAAAGAGAAAGAAATGGGCATTGGGAATTTGTGATCGGATGTCATTAATCAAACTATCCCTTAAAGTTTTCCGCTAATAACCTCAGGGATTAATGCCCTCCTAGTTCACAAGGTAGTTTCTCTCTCTTCAACCTTCCTGCCAACCTCCATTCTCACTTCCCTTCTCGCTCTCTTCCTCTCTGCGTAGTTAAAAACAAATAAGCTGGAAGAGTTTTCATGCAAGGCAATACTATCTGGGTCTGAGACTTACAAGGTTCTCCAAACTATTTTCAACATAGTCAATGGCCTAAAGGAAATCATACACTGCCACACAGATTCCTA